ATATATATATATATATATATATATATATTTTCATGTGTATTTAGCTGCTTTTAGAGACCCATATATAGTAATTGAAAAGAACTGAAAAACAGCTGAATGAAAAAGAAATGTTATCTACATCAGCATGCTTTCCATGTTAGGAATTCCAAGAAGGCAAGATTCCAGAATGGACGCAGGCTTCTAATTGAGTTTGGCTGCAGGTACATAACCCACCCTTTCAGACATTACAAACAATCACAGCAGGTAATTTTCACCCTACTCTCGAGTAGAGAAGTACCTGCCTAAGGCATATTAAGTACTGTCTTCTGATCTTGAATCATAGAGGCGATTGGGGAGCTGCAACTTAATGGAAAGTATTTTTTTTCATTAAAAAACAAAACAAAAAAAACAGGCTAAACAAAGGCTATTACAATTTTATCTTATTTTATTGAAGGCCATGAAAAAGAAATCCCAACTTGCTAGGCAACTGAGAATATAGTTTTCCATTACAAGCCACCAAATAAATCTTTTCTGTTTGTGGAGTCCTTGGTGCTCTCTGACAACACGGCAGGACTCCATAGTTCAACCCTGAGCTACATATATTCTCTTTTATTGGATCTTTTCTGTGTCACTTGGGACCAGCATAAGAGTGGAGGAAATGAAAGCAGGGTCTGACTTGCAATTGATTTCCCATTATCAAAATGTTTCTACATGCTGCTAGTTGCAATGAAGGCAACAGAATTGTAGCTTTTCCCCTTGATTTCTCTATACTGAGAGAACCTGTAATTATGAAGAATTGGGTATAAAGCATTTTCCCCAAACAATCCATCCCATGATCTCATCTTCTTTTCCCAGAGCAAAATCACAAATCCTCTAAGGGTTACTCCAATGGTGGGTTGCCAATTTGGTTACTACTAGTTCGGGCGCGCTCCCACACATGCTTGCGTCTAACGTGTCCAGGCGGGTGGGCAGAGCCCCCCTCCACCGCTACTACCGGTTCAGCTGATCCAGGCCAAACCGGCAGCAACCCACCTCTGGGTTACTCATACAAGTTACTACTAAGAGCATCTCTACACCTATTATTAGGACCGTTATCCAACATATCCATACTATGCAGGAACAAAGGGGTGAATAGTGCAAATTTTTGCCAAGATAGATCAACTGAGAAGCTAGAGAAAGAAAGGATCTAATGCTTTCCAGAAGCTTCTAGTTATGCTCCCATAGATCTCAAACACATGTTGCTCCCTGTTTACTTGGCCTAATGTTTTGCTATATTCCTTATTGTTCTTATAAACAGAAATGGATTCTGTCAAATCAACTTTGGTTAACTACATAGAGTTATCCATGTCATGTTTTTGGTAAAAGAATAGAAATATTTGCCACTGCTTTTTTTACTTTTAAAATTTTTTCCAGTCTCACCTAGAGGTTTTGGATGACTTGGACTTCTACCCATGTAACCAGATTCAAACCTACTTGCCTTTTTTAAATCAATTAAGATTGGTTATATGTTGTGCTATGTATAGTACACAACCTTCAATTATCTGAATAATTTTCTTTTGTTTACCTCTATTCTCAGTTGTGAACTGACAAAAGCCTTCTACTATATTCCATGAAATTCTATGCATGCTTATTTGGAAGTATGTCTTGGTATATTCCCTGTCTATGTGAACATAGTTAAGACT